AAGCAGTCTGCACTGCAATGGTACAAGTCAGCACAAATGGGTTATTGACCTAACATCTGTACTATACACATTTTACAAAATATTAAAAACTCTTTTTTTTGGTACTGGGAAATCAACCTCATGACCTCGTGCTTGCCAGGCAGGCATTTATGCCGCTGAGCTAAATCCCTGGCTATTAAAAACTTTTTACAATTGGTCTTTAACTATTTTCATGCACTAAGATTGCTTTCATGTTCCCCTTCCTTCGTATGAAGTCCAAGTTGCCCATACAAGATTACTTTTTAATGAGTATTACAAAATGTCAGCATTCTGAACGCTTAATGTAATTCAATGAAAGATTAGTTGGGCATGATATACTAACACATTTTAAAATGTGCATTTCAACCAAACATACAACTCCTATCACCCTCTTATTTTCACAGGATTTTGTTTCAAAGTGACTACTGTACTGGATAGTTTCAAAATCAAAGGTTCACCTCCAAAGGCCTTTGAAGATAATTTAAAGAGAATTCACTAAAATATGCATCTCAAGTACCTCAACGACACAATTACTGTATTTCCTGGGTATGTACACTAACAGCTATCATCCTAATACACTAAAAAATATAGTACTGGGGGTTTAGTTCAGTGGTAGAGTATCTGTTTAGTATCTGTTTATCTGTACAAAGCCCTGGCTTCAATTCCTAGCACCAAAACAACTGCAAAATATTGACTAGTGAAATATGATACTGCAATTTCAACACCGAAGCACAGGCAACAAAAGAAAAAAAAGATAAGCTACAAAGGTATTGTCAACTGGATAAAAGGATCTCAATTTTAGCTCACCCTAGGCAACTTAGCAAGACAGTTTCAAAATAAAAAATGGGCTAGAATGTAGCTTTATATATCTTTAATGCCCACTACTGCTAAGGAAAAAAGGGACAATCCAAAGAATGCGAGAAAATATTTGGAAATCATATCTGAAAACAAAATATCCAGGACACACAGAGAACTCCTAAATCTCAAGATCAAAAATACAACCACAATCAGAAGTGGTGATATGTATCTGAAGTCTAGAGGCTAAGGCAACAAAAAATTGCAAGTTAGAGGCCAATCTGGACAACTTATCATGACTTTGTCTCAAAAAACAAAGATACCACTATTTATGAGGATAGCAACAATCAAAAAAAAAAAAAAAAAGGGAGGAAAAAACAAAGAACTAGAAAACATGTATTGGAGCAAGGATGTAGAAAAATCTGAACTCTTATACAGCTGGTGGTACAACGGAAAACAGTACAATTCCTCAAAAACTTAGAATTAGTCTATTAATGGTTATTCTAATTCTGGATATAAACCCCCAAGTAACTGAAAGCAAGGCCTTAAAATAACATTTCTACACCCATGTTTGCACAGCATTACTGTATTGATGAGAGCTAAAATATGGAAGCAACCCAAATGTTCATTCTAAATAAATGGATAAAGAAATGTGACACAGAAATACATGGATTAAAAAGGAATGAAATTCTGTCATCTACTACCAATAGGAATGAATCTTCAGGACATTTTGCTTATAGGAAATAGTCACTAAGAAATAGTAGGGGCTGAAAATGCTCCACCATGGAGTTTGTGCTTAGCATACAGAAGTCCTTGGGTTCAATCCCCAGCATCAAAATACAGTGTGGAGAAATGAGGCGGAGGGTGATTAAAAAACAATTATTAAGATACTGAACTTGGCATGGTGGTGCACTGGGAGGCTAAGACAGGAAGATCACTGACTTTGAGGCCAGCCTAAAGTATAGCCAAGATCCTATCTCAAAAATGAAACAAAAAACCAAAAATAGACCACTGAACTTTATGCTTAAAAATGGCTGATAATGATGTATTTTACCACAATTTACAGAAAAAAAGGTCTGGAACCCTCCTAACCAAAAACCTATAAAGGTGGGAAAGCTTTAAAAAAAAGATGATGATATATTTTGAGACAAGATGTCACTATGTTGAAATTGACCTCAAACTCAGTAGTCCCTGTGCTTCAGACTCCTGAGTGGTATGGTACACCATCATGCCTGGTACAGCTTGTATAGCCAAGCTAAAGCAGGATTGTTTGAGCCTAGCACATCAAGGCACACCTAGGCAACACAGTAAGCCTTAAAAAAAAAAAGATAAAAAGTTTTTGTAGTGTTGTAGATGGAAAGCAGTGCTTCTAATGGTATGCAAGTGGTCTATCAGTGAGGTACCTTCAACCCAAAGTTCTTCAGTAAAGTTAATAGTACAGTATATATCAAAGAAAAATTCAAAGAACTAGCATTTCCACTAGTCCTTTATGTTTTACTTTCTTTTCCTGCAAATATTTAATTTTTTAAAAATCTACAGAACTGAATGATGCAAAATTAACTAATGCTAAACCCTAACCCCCCCCCCAAAAAAAACCAGCAATCCAGTGCAGCCCCTTTCCTACTAAACTAACGAAACACTTTTCTACATACTACTTCCAAATTACTAAAAAGCCTTTTTGTTTTGTTCTGTTTTTAAATCTTTTACTACTGGGGATTGATCATAGTACAACACTGAGCTAAGGATTCTACTCTGAAAGAGGAAAAATGCACAGAACTCCCAACTCTAAACTTCAACTCAGTAAATTACTACTGAATGTTACAGTGAATATCTAGATTTGCTCAGCCCATGGCTCACAGGGTTAAAGGTTATGGTCAGCTAGGAATGTGGCCCTACTAAATGGTAAACTTTTAACACTGTATGAGTTTTAGCAATGTTATGACTCAATACCAAGAGCTCAAGGGCAGCTACATAGGTGACAGTGAGATACTGTATACAGAAAGGCTACTGTGCTTCCTGTACCTAGTTTATGTTACCTTCTTTTGTTATTCAAAAATTTTAAATAGTTGCTTATAAAAATTGACATATATTTTATATGCAACTCAAGACAATTCCTGTTCAATGTGGCTGAGGGAAGCCAAAAGTTGAACACTCAGGAACATTAAACTAATAAAATACAGGTGCTCTTAATACTCCAATAAATCCAACTGACTACTACACACCTCTTGTAACGTTTAAGAAAACTTTAAAAGAAAAATTCACTCAGCAGAAAGCAGGTGGATCAATCAACATTTGGCAGAAATTCAAAGACTTTGTCCTACAGAAATCTAATTGAGCTAAATATTATTTACTGTTTAAGGGGGTAAATACCAGTCATACTCATGTGATTCATTTCAGTAATGTTCAACTACAAACTGAAATTAATGCACTGTGCTAAATTAAAATAAAACGAACTTTTCGTAATACCAGCAGAGTCATCATAACTATCATGCAGAGGTATTTCATTTACTTCAACCATTAATTTCATATTTACTTTACTTTGCCCGTTTACAAGGCAAATGTATACAAAATAACTAGAAATAAATACAACACTATTCCTACTTTTTAAAAAAGGTCTGGAAGCGTACATAAAAAAATAAATTACTGGGGAAGTTAAAGATTTAGCTCAGTGGCAATAAGTTGGCTGGCAAGCGTGAGGTAACGAGATTGATCCCCAGTACCAAAAAAAAAAAAAAAAAAATCACTAATACCCACTTATGTATCATCAAACGTATCTTAAAGACACTAAAAACTTTTTTCAGGGCCCTGCTTTGCTAGTAACATCCAGCTCCTGTGTTAACTTCCAAAAACAAGAGCTGGAATGGAAGACAGACCTTATCTGCCAGGATGCTTACTCTTTAACTTTCATAAATTTAGTCAGTCGCCGTCCCCACTCCCCCTCCTCCCACCCATGGTACTAGGGATTGAACTCGCCACCTTCACTTGCCACACAGGTGCTTGAGAAACTGAGCTAAATCTTCAGCCCTTCTTTTCCCATTTTTCAAAGCAGTTGCATAAGTACCTGCCCGGCAAGCGCCAGGTCTTGAGTTCAATCTCTGGTACCCCCCGCAAAAAAAACAAGAGAAAAAATATACAAAAACATGTTTGTTAATACTCAAGTGTCTTCCAGCTGGCAGACAAGGTATGAAAATTAGGTAAATTTGTGCTTAGAAGTCACAAATAGCTTTGCTATAGATCTCTAAGCAATGATCTCCTCCAAGGAGAATAAAATAATTACCTCATCCCCTACAATCTGTCATGCTTCCCAGCTCCTGCAGTTCAAGTCATTCACTAAAAAGGGTGTTCCTATTAGGAAGGACAGATGAGGGAGTTACTGTTCTCCTAAGCAAAATCATTCACCTACATTATTTACTCCTTAAGTATTTAGAAACTAGTTATGCCATTCAGCCAACTGTTTCTTGGTCAGAGTCTACAAAAAGCTATTAGGATGAAACTTACAGGTTTTTTTCCCCCACTTCCAATTAAGACAGTCTTGATATGTTCTATAGACTGCACTCAAGTAATCTTCTTGCCTCAGCCTAAGTGCTTACCATTGCATCAGTAGGCTCCCTTTTACATGGACTTTGACCAGAAGTCTGTTTCTCTGTAAATGTGCTTGCCATGCTTACCATTGTAGTTTATTTAAATTACATCCTAGGTACCATTCAATACCCATTATTCTTTCTTATACAATAATTGGACCTTTTTCAGACCCTCCTCAAAACAGTTCCTACTCACTTTAAGCACACTGAACTACTAGATGCTTCACAAATAAAGCATTTGTGATTTAAGAAGCAAAGAATTATCTACTTGAAGAATATCAACTCATTTTAAGTGTTCAAAGCAAATATATGATCATCCTTTTAAGAAAGTCCCTTCCCTACTCATATATCTCTATGCTTTAACCAGACAAAATGTAAATTATATCTATATAAAAATGTTTTAAATTAGAAAAGTGAACATTCCTTCTAAAACAATACTATTTCCAAAGATCCTGAATTAACGGTTTGATGCCAGATGCTTACCCAGTCGTTCTCAAAACTAAGCTCTAAAATTCTTAAAGATGTACAATATTCAAAATTTACTCATTATAAACAATATATAAATTGATCAGTCAGAATTTTTGTATAGGAAAGAAATGAGTTTACCTTTAGTGTGATATACAATAGCAGCCCTTGGGTCAAAAGAACCCCAGCTATCATTCCTTTCTAGGCCTCTCTGGTGTCTCTGTTCTTTGGCGGAGCCTAACAAAGTGTTCGTAGGAGAGGCCAGAGGATTTTGATTTTCTATCTCATAGTCCTTTGAGAGAAACACTAAAGCACCTTGACTATTGGTGTCTGCTTTTTGCAGGTCACCTATATGACTGGGTTCCAAGGATAAGGCTCCACTCTCACTAGTAGTCCCAGGTTTTAGAATGCTACCCAGAACTTGAGGACTAGTCCGTTTCTCCAACTCATAAGCCTTAGGAAACACAGGATGCTCAGTTCCTGAGGGGATTATTTCAGCACCCTGTGAAACCAAAGTGGCAGGATATTCTCCTTGAAATGTCACCTCCATTGCTTTATGATCTGATGACTTCCCAATAACAGTCTCAGGGCCAGCACTGGGATCATTTATAAATGATAAACCCCATTGATTCTGGAAGATATCCCCCAGGTTTTGCTGATCTGTCTGAGAGGGCAGATCCACTTGTGCTGTACTCAACAGCACACTTTGCATATTTGAAGGATAGATAAAAAGGCTAGATTTAATTTGTTCAACAGCTGCTGAAGTTAGACTCATGTCCTGGAGAACTGAATCAGTTCCAGAAGATATGGGTGTTAGAGTATTAGCAGCAGTAGTTAGCAGTGTCTGACCACCTGGAGGATACATGCTTGAATCAGTTCCTGCTAAAACAGGCCCATTAGAAAAGTTGGCAGAAGTAACAGATTTCAGCGCTGACATAGGGACCTGGGATAATCGACTTGAAGACTGGGTCTGAGTTTCGCCAGTAGATGATGAAGAGGATGAAGATGAAGATGGTGACACAGAAGAGTTCTGTATAGTTTTGTTGAGGTTTTCCTTAACTTTGCTTGCATAACTTATTTTAGGAACTATTTTAGCACTGCTATTGTCCACTGGAAAAACTGGAGGTGGTTTAAATAGGGTCCATGAGTCCTCTTTGGAGGCAACAGCTGAGGCATGCTTTCCTTTGGGCCGATCATCAAACTTCTTGCTGTTCACACCAGGTTTAATATCTGAATTTTTACGAAGTGTATCACCCACAGCAGGTTTTCCTCGAGTTGTTCCTCCAGGTCCAGTTTCATACTTCCAAATGGGCTTTGAACCATCTACTCGATTTCCCTTTTGTTCACTATAGTCAGGTTTGAAAGTTTCAAGTCCCTGTTTTAAGGGTGGGACACTAGTCTCTTGTTGCATTATTTTGTCCTGGACTAAATTAAGGTTTTCACAACCCTTTGCACTATTGCGCCTAGCTTTCCTTTTTTTAGGAGTGGTATATCCACTTTCTGAGCCACTACCATCATTATCTGCGCCCTTGCCCATATAACCATTAGTAATATAGCCTGCATTATTTGTCACAACACCATTTGGAATTGCTACAGTATCAGTCTTATCTACAGACTGGTTTTCTCCAGATTTATTTTCATAAGACTTCCCATTCTTTTTGTCCATACTGTTTTTCTGAATGAAATTCTTGGTTTTAATTCCTGTCTTCCCAAAGGTGCCAGCCTTCAGAGTCTGCTTCAGAGCAGCATCTACAACTTGCTGGTTGCCATTGAGGACCCTGGAAATAGGGTTTGTAGCTTCATCAGAACCCAGGCTCTTTAAAGATATTTCTCTTTCTCCAGCATTACCATTTATTTCACCATAACCTGAGGGAAGAACAAAAAGAACACTTTAAAACTAACAACACTTAAATTACACTAGAACTTAGTATTTAAGAATGGTTTATTTACTGTATGACACTATGCTGAGCTGTAGCTTTAGTTATTATTTCACACTTACAAGACATTTTACAGATTAGAAAATGGAACCTACTACTGCTAAGCAAAAAAGGTGGAACTGAGCCACAATTCAAACCAGTTTGAGATCTGGGCCAGGGATTTAGCTCAATGGTTCAAGTGCTTGCCTGGTAAGTGCAAGATCGTGGATTGTGAGTTTGATCCCCAGTACCAAAAAAACAAAACAAAACAAAACAGTGTGAGATCACAGACAAGACCTTTAATCAGAAAGCCCTAATATTGCTCAACAGAATCAATCTACTCACCATTCCCACAAGGCCATTACAAAATTTTCTTTATAGTTTACAGAACTACCCTCAAGCAAAAACCAAGTGTTACTTATAGAGAAGAAATAGTAAAAGTTAAAGCTGACACAACTTAGTAGCACAGCATTTGCCTATGTTAAGAGAACTGGAAGGGGAAAAAGGGACATGTTTCAGGGTCGTGTAGCTCAGTTGGTACAATACCTCTTGCCTAGCATGCAAGAGATCCTCTTTATTGCCAAGCATTGCATAAAAAAAAGAAAAGTTTGATTCTGTAGAATGTATTTGGGTAAACAGACTCTCAGATAAAGTAACTTGTCCAGACCACAAAGTAGTAAGAATTAGAATTCTGAACTTCAGGCTATCCAAGACCCAAAGTTTCCTATCACCAACACTACATAACTCAAAAGATGCAATGGGAAAATATACACAACCAAACTCCAAAGAAAGGAATTTAACTTAAAAAATGTCATGGTTATTCAGATACAATCAGATTTAAACCATTAAATTAATAACAGTTATTACCACAGGTGATTTAATTGGTTGAACAACTTTCCCCATCCCCTCACAAGTACAACGTGTTATTAATTATCTACACCTTTCCATTAAAAGTTCACAAAAACATCCTGAGGTCAAGTCATTAAAAACAGATGCACACTATGTATATTCATTTAAAGCAGTTTTTAGAGTACATGGATAAAATACTAAATTATTCACATTTGCCACTTCAATGCTTTTTAGGTATTTGGGCTGTGAAAGCTAAAAGACATGTCTTTGTATATATCTAAAAGAATTTTCTCAATTTTAGTTTCCTATATGTTAAGTATTAATCAGTAACTCCCATCAAAAGTTCTTTCACCCTCTTCCCCAAGTTGCTGTTCTGAGACAGGTCTTGCTGGGTAATCCAGGCTAGTCTTGAACTCTATATATGTAGTGCAGGTGAACTCATGGCAACCCTCTTACCACAGGCCTGCTGACTGCTCGGACTGCAGACACCATGCCCTGTGCAGTTCCTTAATTTTAACAGCAATAATAGTAGGATAATGAAGCTGTTTTTTGTTTTAAAGTTGAGAATCATTATTCTGAAATAACCCAATGTGAACAACCTGGGAAGATTCACAACAATACTTACTAAAATTTAAGTCACTCATTCTACATCAAAGAAAATGGTGAGAATATTTAAAATAAAGACATTTTCTTCTGTATGATCAAAAAAAAAAACCCCAAACAAAAAGACATAATCATACTCAAGATCATAATCATCCCCCAAATAAGCACAAAATGCATAAAATTCAATAGCATTTCACTTCCATGTTTGGCTAAATAAGTTATATGACAGCTATCAAATAAAACTTTTGGTGGAAAAATTAAACGATAACCAGGTATGGTGGCACATGCCCGTAATTCTAGCTGTATTCTGGGCAGCTGAGGCAGGACTGAGTTTGCAGCCAGACTGTCTCAAAAAACTCAAGCATAGTATCCTGCACAAACCCCAACTATGAAACAGTAAGTGGAAGATTACTGCTTAGGAGTATTCTAAAGAACTCTTTAGAAAAGCAGGAAATTCCTAAGTCCAGACTCAGCATTTTTAACAAATACAAACCAACCCTTTTCAAACAAAGGTCCAAAGACCCCTATACCACTTAACATGCCAGTAAATTAACAGGTTAAATCGATGTTTATGCCCTCTACTACAGGACTGCCAGTCACAACGCTCTGCATCTCAAAGGTGGGCAATTTTACACACACACAATTTAGGTCCAAACCAAGTTCAACTATAGCAGACTTCCAAGTGAACCAGAATTTCTAAGACTATTAAATGGCTAAGATATAAGAAATCACCAGTAAAAAGGTTCAAAAATCCACTATATTCCACCATGTTTGTAACAAGTTTCTCATTTAACTACATAAAAAAATTTCCCATGACAACTTTGTAAAAAGTATAAAAATTAGCCGGGCGTTGGTGGCTCACGCCTGTAATCTCAGCACTCGGGAGGCTGAGACAGGAGGATGGCTGCCAGTTCGAGACCAGCCTGGGCTACAAAGTGAGCTCAAGGCCAGCCTGAACTGCATAGTCTCAAAAAGACAAAAAAAAAAAAAAAAGTATAAAAATTTTCTCTGCCAGAAAATTTCTTTATAAAGCTTAGGTATTTAAGAAAAATACAAATACAGAATTACTGAAATAAAGAATTCCTATTGATTTGTTATTTAGGGCTATCATGCTAACCCTATTTCAAATGGACTGAGCAAATTTGAGCCCCAATAAATCTAGCTTTTGCGTTAGAAACTGAAATTACTCAAAACATTCGATCTTCTCTTGCGCCCTCTTCTGGATAAAGAAAAACAGCTCTTACAGGTTTGTGTGTAATGGGTCGTTAAGAGCCAGTCTTTACATAGTACAATACATTCCAAAATTATTCTAAAGCTTTTTAGTTACTAACATTGTACACATTGAAGCAACACTACTGTGTGAACAAGATACACAAAATACTAATCCCAAATTGATAAAATTCTCTGAAAATTGCTAAACCTAGATTCCTTATTCTTTACTCGAGGATAACACTTTTGAGGGATCCCACTTTGAGTGATTCAGAGGCTGCTGCTATACGGTGAGAGGAGTCCTGCAGGAAAACATTAACTCGATTTAATAAATTACAATTTTCAAACCTGAAAATACTATTGCTTTGTATTTCAAACAAGCAGGTAACATTTTCTGGTTTCTGAAAAACTTGTTAAAACCACGTAGAGTTAATAGTTAAACTGCTCTTGGAGCCGCATGTGATGGCACAAGCCTGTAATCCTCAGCAATTGGGAGGCCGAGGCAGGAGGACCGCCCTGAGTTAAGAGGCCTGCCTGAGCCACAAAGTAAGTTCAAGGCCAATCTGAACTGCACAGTGAAACCTTGTTTCAAAAAGGCAATAAAGTTAGGCTGCTCCAAATCCTTTTGATTAAAACACTTAACCCATGTGCTCACTTCTACTGCATACCATATAATCTCAAAATGGAAAATGTGACAATCGAATTTCAATCTTATAGTAACTCTGCAAGTCTTTCTCCAACTCTCAGTAACTGCTTGTATAAACATTCTTACCGTTCCCTTTATTTCTCAACTTACAAAGGACCCTTAGTTTTTAAAATCTGTGAGGCTATGAACTTTTAAACTGAGTTCTCAAATATTGTTCCTCACATGATTTCTACCTCTAATTTAACGTTTGTTAACACCAAGTGTTTAAAAAGCAAAAAATTCCATTTAACACGGAAAAAAAGCGTCGTTCAAGACAAGACAGTAACGATCCAACCTCATGGAGGAGCCACTTCAGAGTTCACCCTTAGTGACGAGAAAGAGGGGTCAAAAAATTCCCTATTCCTTATCCAATCAGACATCTGTTTAATCCATTCTCCGCCCTGGCATTACCCAAGCCCGGCAGACACGGTTAAGTGTGGAGTAGGGAGGCAGACGGAGCTAGGTGTGGGGGTCTCCTCCCGGTTAGAGAAAAGCTGCTAGAGGGAGAAGGCCCGAGTGAAAGCCTCAGGCGGAGTCGTGAGCAGACCTGGCAGGATATGAGGATCCTGTGGCAGAGAAACTCGTGACCGGGAGCCTGGTTCCCGCTGGGTACCCCACCCGGCCTCAGGCACCGCCTCTACCCCAAATGAATCCCCCCGCCGCCCCCCCAGCCCGCCTGCCCGGGGCCTTCCCCCTCAGCTCCGCCGGGAGCCCGGCTCCCCGCCCAGCCCGCCCGCGCCTCCCGCCGCACCCGGGAGCGGGAAACGAGGCCGCCGGCGCGCGAGGCCCGGCGCAGGCCGCTCCCCTCGTGGCCGCTTCCCTCCCCCACCCCAACCGCCCCCGCCCCTCACCCCAGGGACCCGCCCGGGGCCGCGCGGCCGCCACCGGGTTACACAACCCGGCAGGCCCGGGGGGAGGGGCGGCCCGCGGCCGGAGGGAAGGCGGCGCCCTCCGGGTGCCGGGGGCGAAGGACGGCAGGCGGGGGCCCCGGGTCGGTCACCCGCCGCGCCGCCGGCCCCTCGCCACCCTTCCCCCTCCGCTCCTCAGTGGGCCAGAGTCTGTGACAGGAATCGGCTTCCAACATGGCGGACAGGAAGCGGCCCCGCGAGGAGGAGAGAACATTCCAGCCGCGCCGGCTCTGGGGGGAGCGGGCCCGGGGCGCCGGCCTCAGGGAAAGTCGCTGGGACGGACTGCGGGGTCCGGCGCCCGAAACAGGCCTTTGGGGGGGGGAACCACCCCACAGGCGGAGGGTCCGAGCCGCCCACCTCAAAGGGGAAGCCGAGGGCCACAGGTGGGCTGGGGGTAGCGGGCGAGGAGGGCGCTTCCCCGGCGCGGCCCACCTGGCCGCCTGCAAGGGGCGCGCGACCCGGCCCGCGCCGGGGTTCGCGGGGCCTTTCCGAGTTACACCTCGAGAGGTTATTATTATTATTTTTTTTTTTGAGGAAGGCAGGATCACCCAATTTCAAGAAATCCAAATTACGGTAACTCCAAGGCCGCAGGAAGGTGAGCGAGAAGGCGTGATCGCGGCCGGACTTCAAGGCCCAGCCCGCGGGTCTCCCTCCGGCCGAGGCGGGGGCCGGGAAGGTCACGCTGGCCCGGCTTGGCCTCTCCCATGCCCAAGGGAAGGCGGGCGCTGCAGCCACTGGTGCCCTGGACAAGCTCCGGGAAGAATGGAAGGGGGCATCCCCAGGCCCGAGGGACACACACACACTCCGACCCCGTCCGCGCTTTTCAGATCTAGCCCCACCCCCATCGCCTCGTCCCCCACCCCCAATCCCCTTCCCCCACCCGGCCTCCTCCCAGACCTGTTTTCTTCTTCGGCGTTTCCTGGTGCTGCTGGAGGGTGTGTTTCTGCTCATGTTTCAGCGGCTTTGGCTGGGCCTTGGGGCTGCCCTCGGCTCCATGCTGCAGGTATTGGTGAGGCTGCTGGTGATGGTGGTGGTGGTGGTGGTTGTGGGTATGGTTGTAGAAATAATAATGGTGGTGATGATGCGACTGCTGCTGCGGCTGCTGAGGGTGGTGGTGCGGATGGTGGTGGCTGTGATGGTGCTGAGGCTGAGGCTGGCCGGGCTTCTCCTCCATTGAAAGCGGCTTGGACTCCCTAGCTGAGGCTGCGGGCTGCTGCACCGTCAGGATCTGAGACTGCTTCTCCGGGCTCGCTCAGTATATCTGAGCGCGTCTCGCCAGCGCACTGGTTAACCGAGCGATTCTGCGAGATTGGCAGCTGCGTTCCAGCAATCAGAAGCCACGCTGTGCCGCAGGCTCCGCCCCTAGCCCAAATCCTCTTTCCTTCCACTTCGCCACTGCCTCTTGGCCAACGCCACTTACCCTGTGCAACCTCACAGGGCTGGGCCTTCAACGTCAGCACTATGGCTCTCTGTTCTGTCGCTTTCTCTCCTTCACCACGCAGTCTGCGAACAGCACTTTCTACACTCCTCGCCGACAAGCAAGCTCAGGTCGAGTGTAGCAGATTCCATTGGCGCTAGGAGCCGTCTGTTGGTTTTGCACCTCCTAGAAGAATCTGTTGCCTTTTTCTTTTCTTTTCTTTTCTTTTTTTTAAATCCTTTTCCGGGTAACCAGAAGAGAAGCTCAATTCCCTTAACCTGGGACCACTAAAGGGGCAATACAAAAACAGGAAATAAATACATTTTTAAGAATACAAGAGCTTCACAATTCAGTAGATCGTTTTGTATTCTGGATTCATTTTGCTTTGTATTCATATGCTAATCTCTTCCTTTCCACGAAGGGATTATAGGGTTCCACAATGGGCTATCTGTGTAATTTTCTAAAAGGGCACAAAGGGTTTAAATCATTGTTTCTTTGTAGTTGGAGGCAAGGGAGAGAGGAAGGAATGAAAATCCTCACTGAAGATTTTTTTTAATTAAACTCTTGCAGGTGAGGTCAACTGTGGACCAAAATAGGTCTTAGAATATGAAGTTTCAAGAGAAGAAAGGCTAGAAAGAAGACTTTAAAAGTTTTTAAGATTTTCTTGCACTTACAAAAAATATTGGATTTAAAGAAATATATTTTGTGGTGTCGTTTCACTTACCCTGCATGTCATATCACAGTCTGATTTTTAAAATAAATGTTAAAGACATAATGGTGGTTACCCAGGAAGGAAGAAGAGGATTGTGATGAGGGACACAAGGATACACTGTTACTATATTATTTCTTGAGCTAGATGTGATCATATGTTTGCTTTATAATTTGTTAAACAATATATACATATAATGCACTTTTCTCAATATATGTGATATTGAGGAAATTTTAAAATTATTGTTTTCTACCACTGCTGAGATGAGAAAAATTTTAAAATTATAATAACAAAATTTACCATAACCATTTTTAAGCATATGGTTCAGAGGCATTAAGTACATTTATATTTCTCTGCAGGCGTTGCCACTGCCCATCTCCGGAACTTTTTCATCTTGCAAAACAAATTTTGTGGGCTCGGGATTTAGCTCAGCGGCATAAGCGCCTGCCTTGCAAGTGTATGGTCCTGAGTTTGATCCCTGGTACCGATAAAAAAACAAAAAAATGAAAAAAGACAAAAAAAAAAAGTATAAAAAAAAATTTCATGTCCATTAAACAATAACCCCCCTTTCAACCCTCCCTGCATTCCCTTTTCTCTCTACCAATTTGACTTTTCCAGGTACCTTATATTAGTGAAATCATACAATATTTGTATTTTTGTGACTGGCCTGCTTCATTTAGCATAACGTCTTCAAGATTCATTCATATTATAGCATGTATAAGAACTTTACTTTTTAAGACTGAATAATATTCCATTGTATATGTGCCTGTGTGAACCATATTTTGTTTATTCAGCAATGGATATGTAGATCGCTTCTTCCATCTATTCTGTACAGTTTTCAAAATGTGACTTGAATTCCTGTTGCAGGACAATATTAAAGGAGCAAAGAAGCTTAAAAGTAAAAGGCTGTGCTCTCAAATTAATGAATGTCAAGGCAAAAGCATATTTAAAGCATAAAAGCTTGTTTCCAGCAGCAAATGCCACTGACTCTAGAAAAAACTGTAACCAGACCTTGACTCCTTCTATAAAGTGAAGATCTGTAATGCCTTGTTAAGTTCTAAAACTTTGGGGGTAATTTACCCAATTTTGAGAGCTAAAACCCCAATAATAATATCATATAGAGGCGTCTTTGCTGTTGAACATTATCTCATCACTTTCCAATCAGTAAGAAAAAACAAATATATATACAACGTAGGGTTATGTTAATACTTTTTTTGGTTGTTAACTTACACATTTGGTGGAAAGGTTAGAATTCCTGGGTTCTTTGTGTCTAAATTTTCTATATTGTAGTTATACATAATCTAAATACTCTGTGCTCTTCACTCATCATACCTCAACCTGCCTTAGTTTTCTTACAGTCGTATTGAATTAAAGAAACTAAATCTAGTTACTATGAATGCTGCCTTTCTTGTATGTAACAGTATGGAGAGGGGCTTGTGATATAATGTCAGAAAAATGCAGAATATTAAATTCTATTTGTGCTAAACTCATAACCTTGAAAATCACAAATTTTTAGAAGAATGGAATACAGCAGTAAAACACATCATACCTTTTTATTTGATTTTTCTGAAATAATTATAGGTAAAATATTCCTGACACTTGCTGTGCATTTTAAATACAGCATTACAATAATGCCATGATACTGAACCTCTGTAAAAGAAAAATAATTGATTCTACTTGTTTCAAGCATATTTTTATAAAATAGAGTCCTTAACCTGTAATCCCAGCACTCTGGGAGACCAAGGCAGGAGAATTACGAGTTTGAGCCTAGTCCAGTTCAGGCAATTTAGTGAGACATTGATTTAAACAAACAAAAAACTTAAGTAGGGAAAAAATGTAAGAAGGAAATACAGCATAAGTACGGTGAAATTATAGGTTCCTTTCTCTTTTTTCCAAATGTTCTGTGATATAGTTATTACTTTCCTGATAAAAACTTTTTAAATGTATTTTTCCCATGCCAATGATCAAACCTATGGCCTTACACATGATAGTCAAGTGTTCTACCTTATATCAAAATTAAAAATTTTAAAAAGAAGTGGGTACGGGGCTGGGGTTTAGCTCAGCGGCATAAGCGCCTGCCCTGCAAGCAGGCAGTCGTGAGTTCGATCCTTGGTAACCGATAAAAAGGATAAAGACCAAAAAAAAAAAAAAAAAGTGGGTACGTAGTTCTACTGAGCTACATTCCTAACTCTAAAAGTATTAGTTTTCAAAATGAAATTTTTTTATTTAATGAGATGTTGCCCCACCTCAATTTCTTGGGTTCAAGCAATTTTTCCAAGTATCTAGACTTCTCAGAAAACTACACCAAGGGCTGGGGATTTAGCTCAGTGGCACAGCACTTACCTGGCAAGCGAAAGGTCCTAAATCCCAGTACAAAAAAGAAAAAAACTTACCTGGCAAGTGAAAGGTCCTAAATCCCAGTACAAAAAAGAAAAAAACTTAATATGCACATTCTTTTGAAATTCATTTTACACAGTAGTCTACCTACAGTCAATGAGGGAAGTTATAATGGACAGGAGTTTAAATTATTTATGTTAAGTTAATGTTCTAAATTTTTTAACTATCATTATAATCATAGTAGTTCATACTTACTGGGTATTTACTTAATGTTGGAAACTGTACCAAGTATCTTATCTTCATTTTTTGAATATAGATAAGTTCTTTGAGTTAGATAATAAGCACATTCTACAAATACGGAATTTGAGGACCAAAGAAAGACTTGCTTGTAGTCAGGCATGATGGTACCTCTCTGTAATCTCAGCACTTTAGGAGGCTGAAGCAGGAGAATTGCAAGTTTGAACCTAGCCTGAACAAATTAAAGAGACTTTATTTAAAATAAAAAATGTTTTAAAGGCCTGAGTGTATGATTCTGTGTGAAGGCCCTAGTTCAGTTTCCCAATGGGGAAGGGGAGAGATAAATAAAAGACCTGCCTATAATTTAGAAGCCATTAAGTTTGTAGTGGAGGTTGAACTAGAATCCAAGTCCAGCTAGGTAAAAGTTTTTATTGTTGTTGTTTTGGGGTTTTTTTGTTTTTGTTTTTGTTTTTTTGGTCTTTTGCTTTTTTTATCGGTACCAGGGATCGAATTCACGAGCACACACTTGCAAGGCAGGCAGGCGCTTATGCCGCTGAGCTAAATTCCCAGCCCCTTTATTGTTGTTTTGATGTGTGCATGTGTGTTAGTGGAAGGCCACTCTAGGGCCTTGAACATATTATACAAGGGCTCTACTAGAAAGCTATCTCTCCAGCCCATAAAAGGGTTTTTGTTTGGTTTGGTTTTTTTTTTGGTACCAGGGATGAAATCATGACCTTGTACTTGTCCTGCAGGTGCCTATACCACTAAACCAAATCTCCAGCCCCATAAAAGTATTTCTAACACTATCAAAATGTGATATGTATTCCTAAAATTTTAATAAACCTCTAAGAAACATTCAAGCTACATCAGAACCACCATAAAGATAGTGTCTAGTTTTTGTTTGTGTTTTGAGAGGGCTGTCACTATGCAGTTCAGGTAGGACTTGAACTCACTTTGTAGCCCAGGCTGTCCTAAACCTCAATCTAGTTCTGTTAAAATATTAGTGGTCAGGGAGCTGGGATTTAGCTCAGTGGCATAAGCGCCTGCCTTGCAAGCCGGCAGTCGTGAGTTCAATCCCCAGTACCAATAAAAAGGAAAAAGACAAGAAAAAAAAATGTGGGGCTGGGGATTTAGCTCAGCGGCATAAGCGCCTGCCTTGTAAGCAGGCAGTTGTGAGTTCGATCCCTGGTACCGATAAAAACGAAAAAGACAAAAAAAAAAAAGAAAAAAAAATGTTAGTGGTCATTTTGGAATCTGGTTCAGAGGCGTTGTAACTTCAATAGATACTTTAAAAGTTATAAAAGGTTTATAGCATTTTAAAGATTATGGTTAGATTATAACAGTGTAGAAAAAAGTACTGACACTGTAACTCAAGCACAAAAAACAAAGTCACAAATTATATTCATAGAATATGACGGCATATAAAATACAAATTCAGTGACAGTGAGGGAACTTACAAAATGAAAGCAATAAAACCTTTTCATTCATTTGTTCATTTGGAAATATTTATTTGAGCACTTTTTATGTACCAGCTATTATATCTTTATTTGGATTTTTATTTTTATTTTTCATATTTACATAGTTTTGAAACATGTTTAATGTATTTGTAGTACTGTCTCAATTACCAAGTGAGACACTTTTTCCCATACTTTTAATCATAGACTTTGGAAACTATGATTATTTAAGAAATATAAAAACCTTTAAAAGTGGATATGGTGGTGTGTGCCAGGAACCCCAATACTGGAGAGAGTGAAGCAGGCGATCATCATGGTTTGAGCTTAGCCTGGGGTGTATAATAAGTTCAATGAAAAAAAAAAGTTAAATGACAGACTGAACTACATATGAGGCCTGGTCTCAAAAAAAAAAAAAAATCCTTTAACACTGGATGACAACTCAGTTTTCTCATCTCCAAAGTATAGGGGATAGACTGAATAACCTACAACTTTATTTCCACTCTTATCATTCCATGATCATATTTTTTGCTCTTTCTTTTCAGACC